TTGTAACCCTCCAAAGAGAAAGGAAAACTTGAAATCGCATCATATGACCCCTTTAAATGTTTTTGAAAGAAGTCTCTTATGCTAACTATTTTCTATTTAAAAAATATTTTAAAACATAATTTATTCCTGTGATGGCAAACTTTTTAGCTTTCATTCTAATATGCTAATTTGATTCTCATTATTTTAATCAATTATTACTGGTGCTCAACTATTAATAATAGTTCTTATTATCAGTGTTAAAAATATAAAATATTTTTAAAATATAAAAAGGAAATTCAGGATAATTTGATGAATACAATGTTCAAAAGCACAGCATTTATTTGAACTACAAAATGTTTGTAACATAAAAATGTGTTTACTCTTACTTTTAAACAATTGAATGTGTTCATAATGAATAAAAGTATTATTATTTTTTAAACTTTACTTAACCCAAACGTGGCATGGTATCATGGTTTCCACAAAAATATATATGCAAGTATTAAAAACTGTTGTCAACATGAATAATAATAAGAAACTTTTCTTGAGCACCAAATTGTTACTCTCAACTAAGCTAGCGTAACATCACAGGAATAAATAACATTTTAAAACCTTTTACAGTAGAAAAAAGTTATTTGAAACTGTAATAAAATTTCACAGTGTTTTTACTGTATTTTTGATTAAATAAATGCAGCCTTGATGAGCATAAGAGACTTCTTTAAAAAACATTACAATTCAAACGTAGTGTATATTGTTTAACTAATTTATAAATTAACAGTTTTATCATTTAATTGTTGAGTGGTAAAGGCTAATAATAATATATTTTTTAAGGATGGAGAATGAAGAAGCCTCAGATAAGGTACTGGACTCTGTAGCACATTCACTGAAGAGCTACCCCTTCTCCTATCAGGGAGCTCGTATCATTTCAGGCCAAGAAGAGGGAGCTTTCGGATGGATTACAGTCAATTACCTGAGCAAAAACTTGAGAAAGGTATGGTGGTTTTTAACCTGGATTTAGCAATGTTTCACATTTGTCATTTTGATTTGTAATTTTTAACCCAAAGTCCTTTTTCACTGAATTGCAGTGCTGAATATATACAGTGTACAATTCATATCTAGTATAAGAATGATTATTGAAACAGTTTCCGTGTGAAAAGGCCAATTGTCAAATGTGTTTATCATGCAGCCCACAGGGACGCTTGGAGCTCTGGACCTGGGTGGAGCGTCTACTCAGATAACCTTCGTACCTCAACAGAATATTGAATCATATGACAATTCTATCGACTTCAGGCTGTACGGAAACGATTATCACCTGTACACCCACAGCTTTCTCTGTTATGGGCAGGACCAAGCTCTCAAGCTTTCTATGGGCAAGAAATTAGAGTCAACACTTAAAGCTGACGAGGTATGCTTGTCATTGCAGTTGAAGCTGTACAGACCAGGGGTCTATGGGAATTTATACTTATTCTATACAATAAAGTGGTGCATTGAAGCAATATTGCACTGAAAAAAAACTGTGCAGTTTTCACTTCTAGTAAATATCACAAATAATTACAAAGAATAAGCAAGTAACACTAAATTAAATGTGAACATTTAAAGTAGAAAGACTGAAATACTATTTTTTGTTTGTAAAACCTATAATCAATTTCTCTTTATTTACAACTTTTTGCCTTGTGTGTATAGTAGTATATTAATGCATTTACTGCACATACTTTATGATGCATACTTTGCAAAGCAAATCAAATATTATTATTGCTGTCATTGTTAAATTTGACAGACATTATTTGTTAGGAACAATAATTTAGCTTCTTGTAGCTTTGATTCAATTTAACTATTGTATTTTTATTTAATTCATATCTAAAGATATAGACCACACTTGACTCTTATACAATTGTATCTTATATTTTTAAATGTTTTTTTTTCTTCCCTAAGACAGACCCCACTGAGTTAAGAGATCCTTGCTTTCACCCTGGATATAACTTCACCAGGACCGTTCCAAATGTCTTCAATACACCCTGTATGAAAGAAATGAAACTGGCAAATGAAACCTTCTTCCATGTAGGGCTTGGGAATTGGTCTCAGTGCCAACAATCAATCAGAAAAGTTTTTAATACCATCAATTGTCCTTACTCAAGATGCTCTTTCAATGGTGTTTTCCAGCCTTCTGTCTATGGAGATTTTGGGGTAAGAAACAATGTACATAGTTTATTTGAAAGAATTTGAATGGCTGGTTGCAAGTCGTAACTAGTGATAATAAGTATGCCATTTGACTCTCTAGGCCTTTTCAGCTTTCTTCTTTGTGATGGACTTTTTGAATCTGACAAGTGATAATTTAGCCACTACAAAGCAGAAGCTAGCAGCGTACTGTTCTACACCATGGAAAAAGGTAAAATGCTTTATTAACTGTCTTTGAAGGATGTTTAAAATGGTTGCACCTTTGTTGGAACATGATGTCTAAATTATACTTTTTTTACTTGTGTAGATTGTAGAAAATCATCCCAACATAAAAGAGAAGTACCTTTCAGAATACTGCTTCTCAGCAACCTACATTCTCACTCTTCTGGAAGACGGATACAAATTCACCTCCAACAACTGGAAAGACATCAGGTTCATTAAGAAGGTAAGCATGGTGTAATTAAAAATGTTACATTATTTCTCATTAAAAGTATTCAGACAGGTTAGACGTTAGATTTTATGTAGGTTAAAAATAAAGTGATAAAGCAATATATATTGTTCAAAATGAAGTATTGAGAAACTTTTATTTTGGGGCCAATGAATATGGAAAATTACTGAGATTATTGTGTCAACCTCTTTCTATGTGCAGATAGGAGACAGTGATGCAGGCTGGACATTAGGTTACATGCTTAACCTGACCAACATGATCCCCGCTGAAGCTCCAGACACATCGCTGATGCCTTATGGGGGATATGTCACATTTATGTTCCTCTTCTCACTTCTAATACTTGTTCTTCTTCTTCTGGTCTATTTCTATTTCCGTCGGTCCACTAGAACAGCTCAGAAAGACATCATTTAAATAGGGATATTATTCTTTGGTATCTATATATTGAATGTTTATTTCTGCAGAACAACATTTCGATAAATCCAAAAGGTTTTACATTTTAAATAATTTGGAAATCATACCTCATGTGAAGGATAAACAGGTTTTTGGAAAGAGATGGGTTACAGGTTCAACTGCAGCTGAAGGGACATCAGACTCTGTGTTTTTGTGACCACTTAAAGTCTTCTTTAAAAGTCACTAGTACAGGTTTTAGCTTTTGGGGTCTGGGTTAAAGGGGGTTGTTGAGCTTCCTTAAAAGGAAATGTGCACTGACATTCAATATATCATGTGCTTTTTAGTCTTTTATGAAGCTTCCCGTTTTATGTATAGAAAAGCACATCTTCTTGATGCCAGTATCTTTTATTTTTTTTACTTATTGTAAAGAATGTCTGTGAGGGTCAAAAGTCTCTAATTGTATAATTTTTTTGCATTATGGTCATATGAAAATCACTGGATATCATTGTTTAAACATTGCTTTCCACATAGCACATTTGTTTTTAATTAATTGCAAAAGGGGAGTCTGTCATTGCGTGCTTTTTTTTCTTTCTGTGCATACTGATTCTTGCTTTGTATTGCAATCATTTTTTAATACCCCAATGTAACAGGAGAGTTAAAATAATCCTTTGTCCTAAAAAACATTGTCTGTTTCTATAAGGCACATTCTGTATATGAAACCTCTGTGTATGGCTCTGAAGTGATTTGTAAAATTATGTGAAATTGTTTTTATATATTTAAACAAAACCTGTAGCAAATTTCTATTAAAATTACAAATGACTGATTGTGTATGTTTTATTTATAAAACATAAATGCATGGGTATTTGAATGAAGTCTCTTATGCTCAGCAAGGCTGTATTTGTTTGATCAAAAATACAGTAAAAGAGTAATCATATGGAATATTATTATCATTTAAAATGTCATTTATTTTTGTGATGGCAAAGCTGAATTCTCAGCAGCCATTATGTCAGTCTTTAGTGTCACATGATCCTTCAGAAATCATAAAATATGCTAATTTTTTTGCAAGTAACATTTCAAAAATGCAAACTGTTGTGCTGCATAACATTTTTGTGGAAACAGTTACTTTCAGGGTTCTTTGATTAGAAAGTTCAAAAGAACAGATTTTATTTGATATTTTATATATTTTATGTAATGTGTCCTTGGTGATTAATAGTTTTTATTTTTTAAATGGTAATTTTTAAATATGGGTGTGTATATATGTACATCTATCTATCTTTCTATCTATCTATCTATATTACGGAATGCTACAATACGCATAGGATATACATTCATTCTTTATTATTGCTATTAAGAAGTAACAAAAATCCTTACAAAGGTTTACATTAAGCCTTAATTCCACAGGAATATATGAACCAAGTATTGCCACTGATAGAGATATAATGCAAGATATTATTCTAAGGAATCTATGGGTGTAGCCTTTCTGATTATATGAGGCCATAACACTGTCAAAAACATATGCAGAGTATAGAGAACCAGTGTGAGATTACAGCTCATATCAGAAGTATTATGTTATGCTGAAGAGTGTGACAATGTGTCAGCAGCGGAGATACTGGCAATATACAAAGGTACTTCATTCAACACATGAAGCGACAATGAAATATACAAATCTACACATTTCCAAACTCTCCCACAGTGGCACTTTAAAATGAAACACAAACTTGCTCATCATTAACTCAACAACTGTGTAACAGGTGAACCAATCGAATCCTAACGCTTTGCATAGAATTATCTTCTGATCTATAGCACCCTCCTTTATGGGTCTCTAGCAACTTTCATCTATCTAATCAGTTATTGATGTGCAGTACATCTAAATTGCCTCATAAATGTGGAAGAGAGTAATTTGGTGCCTGTCGGGAGCTTTTGGAATGAATAAAATGCAGAGTCAGTGGTTGCTGGGAGTAGTTTTGGAGTTGCAGTTCTTGGCCTCTCTCGGCCTGATGTGAAGCGTTTCTGAGTGTTTGTCTCTGGCGCTCTCTTGTGGCTCTTCTCGGTTGTACAGCATTGATCGTAACTGTGGCAGACACTGGTCCCAGTCCTCAGGCAGTAAGAGCAAAAGGAAGCCCAAACAAATGATGGACACTGCAATGATGCGTACACTGTTGAGCTGGATCTCACACATGTAGCGATCTATGACTGGAGTATGAAAGATTTTTGGTGGTCACTCAGGTATTACAGTTCAACATGTTGAAACTCCAAGATGCTAATGTAATCAGGGCTATCTAGAACATTCAAATTATATGAACTCTTTTGATATTTACACTACAATTTTTTTTTTAAAGAATTTAATACTTCATACTCAGCCAGGATGCATTAAATTGATCAAAAGTGACAGTAGCAACATTTATGTTATAAAATATTTCTATTTCAAATAAATTCTAATTATCAAAGAATCATGAGAAAATAGGTTTGTTGGTTTCCACAAAAATATGAGGCAGCACAACCGATTTCAACACTGTTAATAAGAAGAAATGTTTCATGAGCACCAAATTATCATAATTAGAATGATTTTTTTTACAGGTCATGTGACACTGAAGACTGGCTTAATGGCTGCTGGAAATTCAGCTTCGAGATCACAGGAATAAATTAAATTTTAAAATATATTAAAAGGCAAAATGGTTATCTTAATTGTTACTAATATTAATAATTAATTGTACTAATATTTGACAATATTACTGTTACTGTATTTTTGATCAAATAAATGCAGCCTTGGTTTGCATAGGAGACATCTCTCATTTTACTGAGCCAAGATTTATAACAGTAGTTTATATTATGGGGTAAAGGAGTAAAATAATAATTAAAAAGTCATTTACTCAAAAATAATTTACTCCTCCTCATGTTGTTCCAGACCTGTATGGCTTGCTTTCTTCCGTGAAACACAAAAGGAAATGTTTAACAGAATGTTGACGCTGACATTTTTCATACAATGGAAGTAAATGGTGATCAAGGGTTGTCAAACTCCCAGAATATCACACACACACAAGTTTGACGACCCCTGGTCAATATTTACATTCAGTGTATAGAAAAGAGCAGAGTTAACATAATGCCTAACATCACCTTTTGTGGATTACAGAAGAAATACGAATTTCTAACAACATAACAACATAAATCTTTACAAAAAAAAAAACAAGTGGCTCTATTATGACTCACCAGCATTGAGAGGCACACTGAGGACGACGCCCAGAGAAATCAGAGTAGGAAGTGTTATCAGAACACCAAAATTCAAGAGGAAGTTGAACACTAAAAGAGCAGCCAAAGAAAAGAGTCAGATGTTAAACATATTAATGGTGGATTTGTTTATTACAAACACACAGCTTTTCACTTCAGGAGATGTTAACTGATAGACTGGATTCGTGTGGATTACTTGTGGATTATTGCGATATTTTATCAGTTGCTTGAACTCTCATTCTCATGGCACACATTCAATCGGTGTAGATAAGAGAAGTTTGTATCCTCTTACCCAGCAGAAGAGCGGACATGCCACAGATGCTTGGCCATGGCAAATCTCGAGGTGAAACAAAGTCCTCGGCCCCCATGAGAAGCAGGATCAGAGGTACAGCGCTAATGAAGACCAAATTAGCTCCACCGAGGACAGTGAGATACACAGCTGCTTCACCCAGCTTTGCACTACCCAGAACAAGCTTAAACAGAACCTGAAAAAACATATTTACCCTTACAGATTTCTCTACAGTATGTAAAGCACTTTGAATTACCATTGTGTATGAAATGTGCTATATAAATAAACTTGCCTTGCCTTGCCTTACAGACAAAGAGTATAAAATAATTACATGTTCATTTTAAACATCACTGAAATAGCAGGTCATTGGTGTATGAAAGTCTAAAATGTGTTTGTTGTGCTTTGTAATCCCATCTTACTTTGTATATAGCTGCTGTTGATGCAGAACCAACCACAAGGGAGATGCCTATCACAGAATAGCTGTGGAAACCATCGGCATATGTCAACATAACAATGCCCCCAATGGCTAAAATGGCTGCCACAATCTGTGATTAGATAGAACAAAGTACATTATGATAAAAAGTTAATCGCAACTAAGCATAATTAAAGCTTTTTATAGATCAATTTATATATCATAGACTCACCCGCACTCCCATAAAGCGATCCCGCAGGACAATCCAGGATATTAGGAAGACAAAGGCACGACTACAGCAGAAAAGGGCACAGGCATCAGTGGCAGGGATTCTGCGAAGGCCTTGCAGGTACAGGTAGCTGGTGAGAGTCCACAGCACTCCAAAAGGAGCCACGCGAGAGAGCAGCATCCTCAGTGACAGCACGTCATCTCCCAAGAACTGACAACACTCTCTGTCGTGAATCCACACACATGCAAATAATGTATCACACCATAATTTATCATATCGGCATTTCCAATACACATTTATGTAACAGTGTGTGCCAAATGTTTGGACACACCTGAATGACTGGAAGATTCTATTGATCTTAAAGATGTTTGAGCTAAAGTCTAGTTCTTAATTTTCTAATTAATTAAATAGTCTATTGCAAATTATTTTGTAGATTAGCAAAAAAAAAATGTAAACAATTTTTTTCCCTTAGAAATAAAATACACTGATGAGCGCAATAAGATGTGCACATTGAGACATGGAACTTATTAATAAAGTAAATAGGTTTTGATTTTATGATGACTTTACAAAGAAGAACTAGTAACTAGATGAACATTACAAAACCAGCTATCCAATTAGGGAAACCCTGCTTTCATTAAATTACACTGACTTACAAAAGTGCTGCTCAGTTAACCTTCAAAAATCTTTTGTGCTGAACTCACAAAAGACGAAAAAATGCCATGGGACATTGTTAAGAAAATTAGGTTAGTGTCAAGTCATCTATCTA